CTGGCAGTCAGATGTGAGGTCCCCAAGTGGCTCTATAATCCTTTTAATGAGAATAATTAATGAAATGGGCAAGACCATCTTGCTCAGCCGAGAACCCGTCACGACCAGACAGAAGTCAGTTTGGTTCCAGGCCTGGCCCTGGAAAGATGGTGGACTGGGGGCAGCCACAGTGACGGGGAACGGAGGGACATGGGCGGCGTGGCCAAGGCTGTCAGCTCCTGCAGCACCTGCCGAACGTCCGCCCAGGCCTGGCTCTGCACTCACACTTCTGACTGGAGCCACAGGTGCCTGGACAGTGGCCTGAAGTACAGATGGTGGTAGGAAAAGCACTTCTGGCCACATGTGGGCACCTAAGCATGACACAGAGGGGAATTGTGCCCCAAAGAGACCATAGAGGCCAAGAACTCAAGCAGATGTAACCCCATTGTCCTGTGTCACATCAATTAAGTCAGATCCTGTCCTGACCCTGAAGCTGCAGCTCAGTCTACTTGAGACTCATAAAGAAATGTCAGTGCAGGGCAGGGGGCCCGGCCCAGCCTGCGACGTCCAGCAAAGCTGTGTGTTGGACAAGAATCTCTGAAGATGAGTCCAGGACAAGGACAGCTGTGCCTGGGCAGGGAGTGGGGGAAATGCCCAGAGGCAGGAGGTGTGAGGACCTTTAACTAGGTGGGATGCCAGGTCAGCACGTGCAGAAGAGAAGGTGACATGGCAGCAGCTGTCTGAGGCCAGGCTATAAACCTAGGGACATCAGCCCACAGCTCATGTCTAGCTGAAACCATGCTGCTGCCCAGACACCATCCTTCAAATGCCAGAGGCAGGGCTGGGAGGGCCCCCAGACCCCTCTTCCCTATCGCCCCAAGCAGGTTCTCATGCCTCACCAGAAGGAAAGTGAAGCCTTCTATGGGTCACAGACTGCCAGGTTCTCTGTCACCAGGTGGAAGGGGTGGGGGAAGCTGCAGGTGGGTGAGGAAGAACCCAGGTACCAGAGCTAGAAGGGCTTTGGGAAAGCCTTGAACAGGGCCAGGACCTGAGCTCTGCTTGGCTATGGTGACTCTGAGCCAGGCAACCCTACGATAGTCTCGGTCTGTCACTCTGTCTCACGGGGGATGTCGGCATTGTTACCTCTGGAGTCAAAGTAGTCAGCCAGGGAAACCAGAGTTCGCAGTGTGAAGCCCGGGCAGCCGAGGCCCTTGCCCTTCAGGTTACAGGCATCTGGGTCCTGGTCTAGATCCTCACATGCCATCCAGAGACCCAACCCTAGGGACAATTCCTCCCAGCTGGTAGCAGCAAGTCGATTCTTGTACTCCCAGCAAAAGCTCTGAGAGGAGGGGACATGCGAGTGAGGGAAAGACTCTTCAGGAAAAGGTTTTCAGTGGCAGGGAAGGTTTGAGCTGGGCCTTAGGGAAGCCAGAGGGGTAGGTGACAGGCCCCCTCACAAAGCACGCCAGGGAACACAGGTGGGCTACATGTATAGTTGTGGGAATGTTCTGGAAGACGGCAGACAGCCTCCCACTCACCGATGGGGCTGAGCGAGGTCAGGTCCACACGCCAGAAACTGCTATTCACACACGGGTGCACTTCATTTCTTGTTTTAGAGACAGGGTCTTGCTCTGTTGCCCGGCCTGGAGTGCAGTGGTACAATCAGCTCACTGCAGCCTTGACCTCCTGGGTTCATGTGGTCCTCCCATCTCAGCCTCCTGAGTAGCTGGGACTACAGGCACATGCCACCATGCCTAATTTTATTTTTTGTCGAGACAGGGTCTTGCCATGTTGTGCAGCCTGGTCTCAAGCGATCTTTCCACCTCAGCCTCCCAAGACACTGGGATAGAGGGACAAGCCAGCGCTCCTGGCTCTGCTGCTGCATTTTGGCTGCCTTGGTGCACAGGAGGCATGAGCTGGGGGCAGAATCTGCTCCTGGACCTTTCCCAGGCCTGCACCCAGACTGACCCCTGGGCTGCAGGAGGCAGGTGTGGAGAGAACGCAGCCAGCAGAGCTGGCTAGCCAGTGATGGAGACCCAGGCTGGGACTAGGAGACGGGGCTCCAACCCTCAGCCTAGTGGCCCTGCCAACCCCTTGAAAGAAATAAATGACCTCGTCTCAGGTATTCCTCTGGAGCAATGCAAAACAGACTGATACAGCCTCCACGCTTTGTGTCCACTGGACCTGACCACTGGCAGAAGGGCTGCTCTTGACTCTGCCATTAACGTCCAGACTATGACAGAGTTGTTCCCTGGCTCTGCCTCAGTTTACCTCTCTCAGCTGACAGAGTAGGGATAATTGCTTCTCATGTGGGCCACAGGACAAAACAAAGCCCTGAGTCTCACAGGAAGGTAGGTGGGCCGTGTCCAAGGGAAGACAGACCTGGGGAAGCATTTTATGTCCTCGGGGTGGCAGAGGGACATGGAGAAGATGCCTCCTTTGTGGGCAAAGGAGAAAGGAAGATAAGCAGATCAGTGCTGGACGCCTGTCTCACCCCAACCTCCCCCACCCCACATAGTCCCCAACTCAGGAGGCACTGTTCTCCTTAGGGTCGGCAGGACTTCCTGGCTGAGTTGGGGAAGCTGACAGTCCGGATTCATCAGGGGCAGCACGTGGTGTAGGTGATGCGCTGGACGGAAGTGGAGAGGGGACACGGGAGCCGTGGTATCAGGTCTGGGGCTGCCAACGTGGTACCTGCCCTGGCCGTGGGCAGACCACGCTGCTCCACCCTGCCAGATGTGACCTCTAATTCTAAGGCATCTGAGTTCCAGGCCAGGACTGGAGCCACACTCCCCTTGGGGACAACGGACACAGTACACACAGACTTCACTGGTGCTTTGGCCAAAGACAGCTTTGCACAAATGAACAGGAGGGGTTCTACTGGAGAGCAGAAATCGGCCTGGACTACTCAGACCTGCTTCTGTGACAGGTGGGTCCCAGCCTGCAGTCAGACTCCTGAGAAGAAAGCTCACTCAGCCAGGGAGTGGAGGACGTGGCCTGCAGGATCCCTGGAGTCTGCAGCCCCTCCCACCCAGTGAGCTCCAGAAAAAAGAGGCAGAAACAGAAGGTCCTCCTCCCAGCTTCCTGGTGTGGCCTCAGGGACCCTGGATGAGTCAAGATGGGGCTGCCAGCAGCTGGGGTCAGGGGGAAAGCTGGTCCCCAGGGTGGATGCCCATCAGGGACGTGCAGGTGTGAGGAGTGCTGGGTCGTCACGGCTGAGCCCCTTCTGTCCGGGGAGCCTTGGTGACATGCTGCTGCCGAGCTCAGCCCGAGGAGTCGGAGGCTGGTGGCAAGTAGCCTCTCTGCTTGCCAAGACAGTCCCCCTCTGCCCAGGCTCAAGCATCCAGGCTGTGGAAGGGAACTGCGGGTGTGGGTTCCCCAGCAGTCAGGGGCCTTGGTGGACAGAGCCCCCTATGAGGGCAAAAGCCCCCTTCTCACTCCACAGCAATGCTGTGAGAAGGAATTGTAGGGTTTTGGGGTGTGGACCCTCCCCACCCCCACCCTTGGGACACTCTGGGTTAATTAAGTGCTGACTTGGTCTTGCCTCCCTCACATGCTCCTTGGGGCCTGCTGGGTCCCCACCTCCAACCCCAGGAGTCCCTCTCTCCTGGGCCTCAGCCCATGCAATACCATTTGCCCTGGAGACTTCCTGAGGTCCCCACTTGGCACCCAGCCACTAGACAGGCCACCTGGGTCCCTCAGGAGTCTCTGTGGGAGGGGTGGGGGCTCCATGGAGCCCACAGAGAACGCTTAGGGGTGTGGGAGTGACCTTATCTCCTGCCAGTAGGAGGTGGAGAGCCCAGGATCCACTCCCTCAAGGCTGGCTGATCCTTCATTCAAGAAAGTTGCCAAAATGTAGGAGACTTGTGTCAGGCAAGCAGCAGGGAGGCAGGTGTTCAGCTAGGGAGGGAGGGAGAGGAGGGAGAAGGAAGAGGAGGGAGGACCGAAGGAAAAATAGTGCCTACTCCAGTCGTGCGCTGGCAATGAGACGGATGTGACTGACAGAGGTGATGAGGCACCCACGGCTGCTCAGGGCCTGGGGGAGCCCCGGGTTCAGAAACTCCACCTTCACTGCCATTCTTCCGTCCCTGTAGTAGCCTCACATGATCCCCCGTGGCTCACGCCCCATTCCTCATGTTGTGGGGCTGAGTTTTCGGGTTGCTGAATTTCTAGCCAGGCTTCCCAGCCCCGCCTGGGGATCTCCCTGCCTCACTCACCAAGACTCTGTACGCATGGTTCTGTCCACCCAGACCCCACTTTGCACGTGGCTTCCTACTTCTCTTCAAGGTCCAATTCAGGAACCTCTTCTGGGTCCCAAGGATCCCCCCACCCACCACGTTGACACTGCAGTGGCCACTGTTGTGCTTACCTGTCCCCTCCACAGTCCACAACTCTTCCTAGGCCAGTATGAACAGTGTAAGGGGACGATGGCAGCTGCCACTCCAAATCCCAGCCTAGTGTCGGGCCAGGATGATACAGGAGGGATGCCTCTCGGGTCTAACACGCCCCAGTGGACTGGCCCCGGGCCCAAGTGGAGGGGGAAGACCGGCCCAGGAAGCCACCTTAGCTGCCCTGAAAACAAGCCTTTGAGGAAATCGAGCCCAGCTGGGGCAGGGTCTCTAGAGGGTGGGCCCAGCACACCCACCCACCCCCAACCCAAGCTAACGTCAGTGGGCTGCATGGTCACCAGCAATGGGGAGGTTGGGACAGTTCCACCCAGACCATGAAGGGCATGCTTGGCCCTGGGAGAGCGGCACGTGCTGCGGTCTGGTGACCAGTACTTCTCACCAGGCAGTAAGCCACCCACCCACCACCACCAGGACCCATGGGGTCCCAAGAGGGAGGGCTTTCCCGGAGCAAGTATGCATGGGAGAGGGGCCCACAGAGCCGGAGCCAGCTGCTCACTGGAGCGGGTGCTCAGCACCTTCTGGACTGGGAGCAGGGGGAGCAGCCTGAGAGCAAGGGGTAGGCACACAGTGACGGACATGAAAGCCACCACCCCGCACACGGCCAGGCCCCACTTCCAAACACAAGCCAGGTGCTTTAATGGCCGCCTCCAGGGCCCAGAGGCTCATCAGCATCCCTTAAACAAGGCCCAGAGCTTGCCAGCCTCTGGCTCAGCTCAGCCCTCCAAAGGCAGGTGGCTGCCAGCGGGCCTGGCTGATGGGCTCCGGCTTGGGGAGCAGCGGGGTCCTCAGTCCAGATCTTCAGAGGCCTTCTGGGCCTGAGCTGCCCCTCAGCCTGCCTGCACCAGTCCCTGAGTCCCGGCAGCTGCTTCGCTTCTAGAAAACGCGAGTTTCCTGGGAGAATGCCTGGGGCGGGGGAGGCAGTTAAGGGAAGCACCAGGACAGGCCTGGGGCCTCCTGGGGTGGCAGTGGCAGGCCCAGAAAAAGGACGCCAGCTACAGGCTGCATCCCTGCACCAACACTGGGATCAGGAGTGGGCAGGGCAGGCCCCCTCGGGGTGCTCCAGGCTTGAGGGCTGGGGCCAACCCAACCCCAGGTGCTGGGGGTGACTCCCGAAGGTGTGAGTCACACCTGCTGCATAAGGTACCACTCTACGACAGCCAGGTCCTAGGACACACGAAGACTTTCTACAGGAAGGTTCTCTGGCTCGGATTCTCCGCCCTGCCCCAGGGAGGAAGCAGAGACCAACCCCTGAGTGTCAGGCTGCATCCCCACGACAACCCTGTGAGGTAGGTGGCGTCGTCCCATTTCCCACGTGGGGAATCAGGGCTCAGCAGAGGTGACGTGTCTTGCCCAGGTCACACAGCAAGAACATGAGCCGGGATTCAAGCCCAGACCTGTCGGGCTCCAGAGCCCATGTGTGCGTTTTCTAGGGAAGAACAGGAAGGAGTCCTATCCAACAAACACCCTCACATGAAAAGCTCGGAGGCTCTCAGCCCACCCTGGGTGGGCCCCAGGGTCAGAGTTGGACCCCCTCCAGGAGAGCAGCCATGGCCCCAGCATCCACTCCTTGCCCGGGCAGCTGGGCAGGCAGAAGGAAGGCTGGAGAGCGACCGCCGTACACCGGGCACCGGCAACCAGCGCTACAGATGAGGGCTCTGGCGGTCCAGCAGCTGTGGGCGGGGCGAGGGCCGGTCTGGTCTTGAGGCCTTGTGACCCCAGGTGGGCAGGGCCAGCCCATTGAGCCAGGTGGTCTCCAGCAGACTGCGGAAGCGGGCCTTCAGCGTGGGGCCAGGCGGGCTGGCACTGGCAGCAGGGGTACCGGAGGCACCACAGGACTCTTCCCCAGCGGCTGCCTCTGCTTTCTCTGGGACAGGGCTTGGTGGCTTCCTCCCTGGCTTCCTGACCTTGGGGGCCGGTGACTTCCGAGCCAGGGCAAGTCTCTCTGGCTCATATCTGGCCACAGTGGGCTCTGAGGGGGACACAGCTCCAGCCTCAGTGTCAAAGTCACCTGCAAAATGAACACATAGTCAGGCTGCAGACCCCGTACACTCAGGTCCCACCTCCTGGCCTCCAGAGGCCCCCAAACAGTGCTTCTGCTCTGCCCCACGTCAGCCTGGCATCACACCTCTTCCCCACACGTGCCTACTGGCCAGACCGTCCAAGCCAAAAAGATGAGCTTCTCCACAGGTGACCCCAGAGCTCTATCTGATGCGGGCACTGCTCAGGAGAGGCTGTTTGGGTACAAGGATGAGGGAAAAGGGGCTCAGCAGGTCAGGAACCATTGGCCTGGCCCAATACCCATTGTCCAGATGGGAAAACTGAGGCATGGGAACACAGGGCCCTGCCATACATAAGAGAGCCATCATCTTTATGCCAGTCCCAGAGCCAGAACCAAAGCCCCAGCCCAGGCCCAGGCAGGGACTGCCCTAAAAGCCACACTGGGGAGCGCAGGAACCCGGAAGAAAGGCAGGCTGGAATCACTGTCTAGGGCAGGCGTCCCCAAACTTTTTACACAGGGGGCCAGTTCACTGTCCCTCAGACCATTGGAGGGCCGCCACATACTGTGCTCCTCTCACGGACCACCAATGAAAGAGGTGCCCCTTCCTGAAGTGCGGCAGGGGGCCGGATAAATGGCCTCAGGGGGCCGCAGTTTAGGGACGCCTGGTCTAGGGGAACATACAGAAAGGCGGCCCCCAAGGATGGGGAGAGAGAGTGAGAACAGGGGCAACACGATTTAGCCAGAGGCAGGAAGCCTGGTCCCAGTCACTTCCTTCCCAGGCCCCTGACTCTTGCAGGCTCCACTCAGAGCAGGCGGGGACTGTCTGGAGCCCAGACTCCACTGCCCACCAGGCAGCTCCGAAGACACAGATCTGACCCTCTCTGGGCCCCAGACAGTCCAACTGTATGGGGAGAGGACTGAGCTGGGCAGCTAGCCCTGAGTGATGCCCGACCCTCACTCAGTAACAGAACGCCTGAGCCTGGATTTCCTTTGCATCCCAATAAGGTATCTGCTCCAATTTTGTAAACGTTCAGGGATCAGGGATGCTAGTCAGCCAGGCTGGTCAGCATCTACATCTCACTGCCTCAGGCCCTTCTCCATCCTGACCAGGTAAGGGCCAGGGCAAGGCTGCTGCTATGGGGATGGAACCAGGAGGAACACTTTCTACAGGAAGAGGCGGATGGGAGAGGGTGGCAGTGGAGGCCACAAGGAGAGTAAAACTAGAGGGGGCGCCAGGCGCGGTGGCTCAAGCCTGTAATCCCAGCACTTTGGGAGGCCGAGGCGGGTGGATCACGAGGTCAAGAGATCGAGACCATCCCGGTCAACATAGTGAAACCCCGTCTCTACTAAAAATACAAAAAATTAGCTGGGCATGGTGGCACGTGCCTGTAATCCCAGCTACTCAGGAGGCTGAGGCAGGAGAATTGCCTGAACCCAGGAGGCGGAGGTTGCGGTGAGCCGAGATCGCGCCATTGCACTCCAGCCTGGGTAACAAGAGCAAAACTCTGTCTCAAAAAAAAAAAAAAAAAAAAAAAAACTAGAAGGGGCCTCAGGCCGTGATGCCAGGTGTACTGACACAGGAGGGGCAATGGTGGAATCCACTCGGTCCCATCATCAGATCCCTAGCTGAAGAAGTGTGATCATACATGCCACAGGACACTTCGGCAGTTGTGTGATTCTCCAGGACATTAAAAAAACAAGCTGGAGAACAGAAGACACAAGACACCGTGTAGAGCAGGCGGCCCTAAACTGCGGCCCCCTGAGGCCATTTATCCAGCCCCTGCCGCACTTCAGGAAGGGCCACCTCTTTCATTGGTGGTCAGTGAGAGGAGCACAGTATGTGGCGGCCCTCCAACAGTCTGAGGGACAGTGAGCTGGCCCCCTGTGTAAAAAGTCTGGGGACGACTGGTGTAGAGGAAAAACAAACCACAAAACAACGCAGCCTATGGGCACTCTTCTGTGCCGTCAGGGCTGGAGAGGATTGCAAAACCACATGGTCAAAAAGGCACCTGTGACCCTCAGCAGATCTCGAGCATGAGGAGCTTTGTGAACAGGGGTGCCCTTCACTGACATGGAAAAGACTGAGGGTGGCAAGTGAGGAAGGTTCGGGAGTGTGATTGGGGATAAGTTCAGTGTGGGAGAGAGACCCAGTGCAGAAGACCAGCAGGTAGTGGGTTATTTGGGGCTAAAGCTCAGAAATCAGGAGGCTAGGCTAGACTCAGGGAAATGATCTCAGCTAGAAAACAGGGTCTGGCCGGGCGGGATGGCTCACACCTGCAATCCTAGCACTTTGGGAGGCCAAGTTGGGTGGATCACCTGAGGTCAGGAGTTCAAGACCAGCCTGGCCATCATGGTGAAACCCCATCTCTTAAAAAAAAGAAAAAAAAAAAAAAGGCCGGGTGCGGTGGCTCAAGCTTGTAATCCCAGCACTTTGGGAGGCCAAGACGGGTGGATCACGAGGTAGAGAGATCGAGACCATCCTGGTCAACATGGTGAAACCCCGTCTCTACTAAAAATACAAAAAAAATTAGCTGGGCATGGTGGCGCGTGCCTGTAATCCCAGCTACTCAGGAGGCTGAGGCAGGAGAATTGCCTGAACCCAGGAGGTGGAGGTTGCAGTGAGCCGAGATCGCGCCATTGCTCTCCAGCCTGGGTAACAAGAGTGAAACTCCATCTTAAAAAAAAAAAAAAGAGCCGGGCGCAGTGGCTCACGCCTGTAATCCCAGCACTTTGGGAGGCTAAGGCGGGTGAATCACAAGGTCGAGAGATCGAGACCATCCTGGTCAACATGGTGAAACCCCGTCTCTACTAAAAATACAAAAAATTAGCTGGGCATGGTGGCGCGTGTCTGTAATCCCAGCTACTCAGGAGGCTGAGGCAGGATAATTGCCTGAACCCAGGAGGCGGAGGTTGCGGTGAGCCAAGATCGCGCCATTGCACTCCAGCCTGGGTAACAAGAGTGAAACTCTGTCTCAAAAAAAAAAAAAAAAGAAAAGAAAAGAAAATAGGGTCTAACCAGAGCACCAGGAACACCACACCCAAGATGGAGAAAGCACAGGCAGAGGAGGAGGGACCCAGGAAGGTGCAGCACCAGGGGAGACCGAGGAGTTTCCATGGGGAAAGAGCAGCTGGCCCTTTCAGAGGACTAGAAAGGAGGCTATGAAGGTGCTCAGTAACAGTCTGGAGGGTCAAGGGGTGGGGATACCTAGAGCCCACGCGAGAGCCCCCTGCCCAGGCAGGAGTCCCTGGAATCACTCAGCCCCAGCTGTGACGACTCACACAGCACACACACCTGTCACTTGCTCACACCGCTCCGGTGGCCACGGGGGCGGCCCCATGCTCACCCAGCTGGCGGCGTACACAGTCACGCCACTGCAGGCCGAGCAGGTCGGGGTAAATGTCAGGCAGCTGGCGCAGCGCCAGCAGCTTCAGCATGCGTGAGGTACAGCCCGGTAGGGCGAGCTCCCGCAGCGCCCGCTCCTCCGACAGCGTGGTGGGCCGCAGCTCCACACGATGCTCCTGCAGCACATGGTCCACAGAAGCAGGTGGCAGCCGAGGGAAGAGCCGCTCCTTCACCAGGTGGATGGGCACGAAGATGGCGCCAGCTCGCACCACGTGGGGGAAGGGGCACCGGTGGGTTCGATCGAAACGCTGCAGCTGAGACAGCAGCTTGGCCAGCAGCCCCTGCACACCCTGGCAGTCCTGCCACGCAGCCTGGCCCCAGGGCCCAGCCGTCTCTAACCACTCTCGAAGCTTCTCTGGAGGAGAGTGGGCCACTGAGCCTGAAATAGCATCACACAGCGATGTGTGTAGTCCTGTAAAGTGCTGCTCCGGGGAGTCCTCTGCTGCTGAAGTGGATGCCAGGGCACGGCCTGGAGCTGGAGCCTGAGCCTGAGCCCGAGCCCGGGCTGGAGCTGGAGCAGGGGCAGGGGCAGGGGCAGGGGAGGCCACAGCTGCGGCTGGAGGGCTGGGCAGTGCCAGGCTGAAGCAGGTCAGGGATAAGGGCTGCTGAGCGACAATCTGCAGTCCAATGGGCCCAGATGTGGGGGTGGGCGCAGGCTGTGCAGGAGCAGGAACTGAGGTGGGCGTGGACGGGACCACAGCTGCAGGCAAAGGTGCCGGACGGAGGATCTTGAACTTCCGGAACATGAAGGCCACAGAGCTGTGGAAGTTGGTGCTTGGCATGGCATCTGTGGTCACTGGCACCCCAGGCAAGCCTGGTGCTTCTGTGTCTACCTTTTTCAGGCCTGGCAGATCTGACACCATGTTGCCCACATCTGGCACGTTCCCAGCTGCCGTGAGCTTGGCATGCTCCACAGGACTGGGAGCCTTGACGGGGGAGGCCTCTGCTGTGGGCCTCCTCACACTCAAGTCCAGGGCTACGTCCTCCTTAAGAAAGCCCCTTAAGGTCTTACTCCCTGAGGGGCCCTCCTGGGTGGGCAGGGACCCGCTGCAGCCTTTGTCCTGGCTTTCATTGGTGGCCAGGGCTGAGTCAGGCTCGTCTGCGGCAGCGTCAGGCTCAGCTATGGCCTCAGGTGCATCCAGATAGTCACGGTAGGGGGCCAGGCTGAAGACGTTGTCAATAACAGGCATTGGTGGAGAGCTGGGTGGCCTTGTATCCTCCTTCTGTGGAAGAGACTGGCACTCCCGGGCACAGGGGGGCAGTGCTGGCGGAGTACGGGGAACTGGACTGTCTCTGATGACGATGGGCGGCCCAGAGTGCTCACTGAGCCGCGGCTGGGGCTGCTCTTTCCTGCAGCTGGGCAGCCAGGTCTTCTCTTCTGCTTCCTGTGCAGGCCTCACAGGCTCCGAGCAGGGCTGGCTGGCTGGGGAAGGCTGGCATGCCCTCTGGAAGGCACCAGGCTGTGGCACAGCCTGCATATTGTTCTGGGAAGGTGGCGTCCCTCCAAGCCCAGGGGATGCTCCATAGAGAGAGAGATCATCCCGGGCATAAGGAAAACCCAGTGTTTGGGGGACAAAGTCCAGTGGGCACCGCGGAGCAAGAGGCAGCTCCAGCTTGAGGCCTGGTGAGGGTGCTGGGTGGGGGGCAGAGGGGTAGGGGTAAGTGTCCAGCGCCACTGGGGGAATGTACGGTGCCTGGGCTGCCTGCTGCCTCAGGTAGGGGCCGCCCAGCCCACCAGCCTGGTACCCAGCCCCTTTGTGGCCCTCCAGAGGCTGCAGTGGGAGTGCTGGGCTGTAGCTGCCCTGCTTCTCTGGGTAGCGACAGGCTGGAGGGCATGGCGGGGCCTGTGGAGGGTGGGGTAGTGGGGGGTGGGGGGTTGGGTAGTGGGTGGGCCCAGTGTCCTGACAGGGTGGCCCCAGGGGCTGGGCCAGCTGGGTCCAAGGACTGGAGGGCCCCTCTGACGCTGCTTGCTTGGAGTTCCTAGGGTAAGGACCTGTGTACCTGGAGGCCAAGAAGCCCGTGCTGTGGATGGCCTGATACTTCTCCAGGAAGGGCTGGCAGGGAGAGAAACTCCCTGAGGAGTCTTTGCTGGATCCCCCAGCTGGCACCCCCCGCAAGAAAGTGCCATCCAGAGTCTGGCCCTTACTAGGAGCTGGGGCCAGAGAACAGGGTGGGTCAGCCGAGGGTAACAGGGGCCCGGTCACCAAAGTCCAGTCAACATCCAGTGGCCTCTTCACCACTCCTTCCCCCAGGCAGGTGGAGAGCCCATAGCACAGAGGGTTGCGGTAGACAGGTTTGGGCACTGCCAGCGGCGGGCCCGGGTAGGAGTGGGCCTGGGAACTGAAGGGCAGGAGCTCAGCAGAGCTGGAGTCTCGCATCTTCTCAGCGCCTTCTGCCGGCGAATGGTAGAACAGGCAGCTGGTCAGCAGGCTGTCCGCCCGGAGTGGGGGTCCTGCCATCCCCGTAGAGTACAAGGGTGGGTATGGGGTCCAGGACGCCAGCTGCTCAGACTCGGCCTTGGGAGCACCCCCCACGGAGCAGGAGAAGTAGGACCCCTTGTAGCTGCAGGGGACCTGGCTGCCAACAGAGGGGGGCAGGCTGTGCTCGGGCACCAGGTCTGTCTCTAAGCGGGGCAGCTTGCCATACATCACAGGCCCCAGAGTTCCCAGTGGTCGCTTTTCTGCCATCGCTGTGAAGGTCTCGAGCCCTCCTGGGCCCCTGCTACTCAACTTCTGACCTGGGATAGAGGGAGAGGCAAGGGCTGTCAGGAAAACAGGCTACAGGTGGCCGGGCATGGTGGCTCACGCCTGTAATCCAAGCACTTTGGAGGCCAAGACAGGCAGATCACCTGAGGTCGGGAGTTCAAGACCCGCCTGACCAACATGGTGAAACCCCGTCCTAAAAAAAAAAAAAAAACAGGCTACAAGCAGGCAGCAAAGGGCTGCTCCCATAGGCTCACTGCCACACCCAAGAACCTGCCCCTTAATTGATGCTCTGTTAAGACTGAGTATATGAGCCACACGACAGGGGTTTTTAATTTCTGTGTGTATTTTTTTTGAGACAGGGTCGCCGGGCACGGTGGGCTCACGCCTGTAATCCTAGCACTTTGGGAGGCAGAGGTGGGTGGGTCACCTGAGGTCAGGAGTTCAAGACCAGCCTGGCCAACATGGTGAAACCCCATCTTAAAAAAAAAAAAAAAAGAGAGAGAGACAGGGTCTCACTGTTGCCTGGGCTGAAGTGCAATGACATGAACTTGGCTCACTGCAATCTCAACCTACTGGGCTCAAGTCATGCTCCCAACTCCCAAGGAGCTGGGACCACAGGCACCTGCTACCACACCTGGCTAATTTTAGTATTTTTCATAGAAACAGGGTCTTACTATGTTGCCCTGGCTGGTCTTGAATTCCTGGACTCAAGAGATCCTCCTGCCTTGGCCTCCCAAAGTGCTGAGATCACAGGCATGAAACACCCATCACACCTGATCCCAACTTGTATATTTTAAGCTGCAGAACCATTTGTTTAATGAATTACTCTACACAGACCCCCCCACCCCAACACTTCAGGGGCCCCTTCTGTTGGATTTTCCTACATACAACTCCCAAGACCCTCTCCTTCTTAGGGTTTCACAATTTGTAAGTGCACTGTGTCTGAGGGTCACTTGGCGTACGCTACTCCCACCCCTTCTTGGAAGCAAGTTTCCTGCCTCCCACCACGGGTTCTATTTCAAGATGCCATAGTGATGCCCACTGCAGCCAAAACATGGAAACAGTATTGTCTACAGATTCACAGATTTCTTGTGACACTCCTCTGACCTGCTCATCTTGTCAAAAATGGCAGAACCAGGCCTCCAACCCAGATCCCTAGGCCCAAAGCCAATGCAGAGATCCTGGACTTGGCTCTGGAGGGCAGTCCCTTAGGAGAAGTAACGGGGAAAACAGTCAGTACAAGCCACACCCCTTCCACTAGCTCCTCCCTCTGCAGGTGTGAGAGCAGCCCAGCAGATGGTGCTGCAGCACCAGCAGAAAGGCTCCAGAGCAAGAGGAGCCTGGATCCACCCCCAGCCCCCAAGCTGCAGATGGCCGATTCCAAGGCACACCAGGGGCAAGACAGCACCAGGGTCGTGTGTTAAGTCCAGGGAGGCAGCTGGGTGTGGTGGCTCACGACTGTAATCCCAGCACTTTGGGAGGCTGAGACGGGCAGATCATTTGAGGTCAGGAGTTCAAAACCAGCCTGACCAACATGGTGAAACCCTGTCTCTACGAGAAATACAAAATATGCGGCCAGGCACGGTGGCTCAAGCCTGTAATCCCAGCACTATGGGAGGCCAAGGCGGGTGGATCACGAGGTCAAGAGATCAAGACCATCCTGGTCAACATGGTGAAACCCCGTCTCTACTAAAAATACAAAAAAAATTAACTGGGCATGGTGGCGTGTGCCTGTAATCCCAGCTACTCAGGAGGCTGAGGCAGGAGAATTGCCTGAACCCAGGAGGTGGAGGTTGCGGTGAACCGAGATCGCGCCATTGCACTCCAGCCTGGGTAACAAGAGCGAAACTCCGTCTCAAAAAAAAAAAAAAAAAATATTAGCCAGGCATGGTGGTGCACGCCTGTAATCTCAGCTATGCAGGAGGCTGAGGCAGGAAAATTGCTTGAACTCAGGAGGCAGAAGTTGCAACGAGCCAAGACTGTGCTACTGCACTTCCAGCCTGGGCGACACAGCAAGACTCCATCTCAAAAAAAAAAAAAAAAAAAAAAAGGAAAAAAAGAAAGTCCAGGAAGGGAGGCCCAGGGGCCACAGAGTGCTAGTTGGCCACTACTCCCATTGTATTGATGGAAAAACTGTGCTGAAGAAAGACAAAGCTCTAAGGTAAGACCAAGGAAGGATAGGGACTGTCCTGGGGCAACAGAGGCCCAGTGACCCATGAGGGGTCATCTGAAGCCTGTCTGCTGGGGTCACCCTGACCTGCCTCTACCTCAGTCAGCCAGCATCCTGCTCCTGGAAACTCAGTGGCTTAGAAAGGATCAGCCAGCTCAGTCTTGCTACAAAGTGTCACAAGTTTCAGTGACCAGCAAGAAAGGAACAGCCCTCCCCTTGCTTCTGGCTGGAGCCAATGACAGCCACAGGCTGAGCTAGACCAGCACATTCTGAGGCTAGGAAAGGCAAGGCTAGTGTGGGGGCCAGTGCCCACGCCCACCAAGGCAGACTCAGCAAGCTGGTTCAGCTCCTGGACAGAACCCCACACCTCAGGTCAGCCTACAGAAGACATGGAGGGGCCATTAGGACACAGGTGACAGTACCAACAGCAGTGTCCTACCAGGGAAACCTGCTATCCAGGGGTGCAAGCCCCTTCTCACTCCACAGCAGTGCTGTGAGAAGTAATTGCAGGGTTTTGGGGTGTGGACCCTTCCCACTCCCACTCTTGGGACACTCTGGGTTAATTAAGTGCTGACTTTGGTTTTGCCTCCCCACAAGCTCCCTGGGGCCTGCTGGGTCCCCACCCCCAATCCCAGGAATCCCTCTCTCCTGGGCCTCAACCCCATGCAATACCGTTTGCCCTGGAGACTTCCTGAGGCTCCCACCTGGGACCCAGCCAGTAGACAGGAGGCCACCTGGGACCCTCGGGAGTCTCTGTGTGTTGGGGGGTGGGGGCTCCATGGAGCCCACAGAGAACTCTTAGGGGTGTGGGAGTGACCTTTCTCCTGCCAGTAGGAGGTGGAGAGCCCAGGATACACTCCCTCAAGGGAGGCTGCTCCTCCATTCACGACAGTTGCCAAAATGTAGGTGCCTCCTTCCCTGACCGTAGGAGGCGACCAGGCTCTCGGACAGGGCACGTGCCCAGGGAGCAGGCTCAGGCCATCCTGGAGAAGCAGCTCTGTTGATCCTCCCTGCCAAGCTCCAACCTCACTCAGCACCCAGGCCAGGGTCCCGGAGAAGAGCCCCCCACCGCAGCACCACCCCTGCCTCAGGCAGTGGGAAAGGAGCAGCTGTGTCTCCGTTCCCACTTTCACCTTCCAGGGACCTCGGGATGGCCAATGGGAAAGACCAGGAAGAGCTCGATTCTGCACAATTGTGGCCGGCATCTGGATGCTCCCGGAGGGCTGGATCGGGCCTCTGCGAGTGTTCTTCCACCTCCCCGCTTCCCTACCTGAGGCTCGGGGCTCTCCAGACGCTACAACCCAACCTGGGGCGGCCCAAAGTCTCCAGTGGAGGGCAAGGTGAACGGATCGGTCTCTATCCCCTTTCCCCCACCGCCCTGAGCCTGACTCTGGTGCCTGGGCCCACAGCCAACTCGGCTTTGAGGCTGCAGCGGCACCCGACCTGGCGGGCTTCCGGGTGTCCCCGAGCCCCTCCCGGCGGCGCTGAGACGCACGTGCATCCAGCAGGCTGACACACAGGCCCCGCCACGCATGCAGACCCGTGCCTGCACGTCCGTGCCTGGCTCACATCTGCACACACGCCATTCCAGATCCGCGCTCTCCCCGCGCTCGGGCCCCGGCACACGTGTGCACGCAGGAAAGCCCCGCGCACCCAGCCAGCCCCACACCGACGCCCGCAGACCGGCGGGAGGTCCCGGAGTAGGGGCGGCCTGGCCGCGGGGTCCGGGCAGCCTCCGCCTCGGGGCGGTCCCACCAGCCTGGGCCGAGGCCGGAGGATGAGTCAAGAGGTGGCAAGGAAACCACAGGGCCGTCCCATCCCAGCAGGGCGCGTCCAGGGCCCCGCGGCGCCTCAGCGCCCGCCGCCCCAGGCCCAGCCCTCCAGTCACCCCTTGTCCCCGCCCCGCTACAACATCCCCTTCCCCCCCCAACAAGATCCCCCTCCCCCCCCAGCAATCCACGTGAGCCGGGCCTTGCAGGAGGCCCGAGAGCTCGGCCTGAGCCCCTTCTCGCTAGATTAGGCGTCTGGCCTCAGCCGGAACCCCAGAGCGAGAGCAGGCCCCGGGAGCCTCGAAGTCCGGGGAAAGTCGGAGCAGCGGCGCCACCCCTGCCCCGCGGCCCGCCAGAGGGGGCCAGTGGCAGCCAGAAGGCGCAGCACCTCGGCCCAGGAGCGGCGTGCTCAGTCCCCGGGCCGACCGGTAGGGGCACCCTGGGGCAGCGCCACCCGCCCCTTCCCCACACTCGCCGCCCGCAAACTCGGCCCAAGTTTCCGTGCCCGCCGAGCGGGCGAGCCCGTACCTGCACAGCGCCAGACCTCCCGCCGCCGCTGCCCCAGGCCGCCTCCGCGTCCGCATCCTCCAACGTCGTTCAGGCTGCGGGTCCAGGTCCGGCCGGGCCCTGCGCGGGAAGCCGCGGCGAGCACCAAGCCCGGAGCAACCCTCCTCGCTGCCGTTCGCGCCGCCGCCGGGCGCCGTCTGCGGTCCCTGGCGGGGCGGGCTGGGGGCGGGGCGGGGGCGGGGCGGCTCGCGGGGTGGGGGCAGAACCCGGCCCCGCCTCTGGGAGCCTGCGGGCGCAGAGCGCCCGCGTGGGACCAGCTAGCTCGCCCGGAGCGGACCGCGGGCGCGGTGCGCCGCTGGTACCCGCCACGCTCCACGAACTAGTGCCCGGCGGGCCCGTTGCGCGCCCTCAGTCACTCCGTTAGACCGTTCATTCACTGCCACTTTCTGGCTATGCGACCTTGCGCCTGCCACTTGACCTCGCTGAGCTTCAGTTTCCTCATTTGCAAAAGTGGAATTCTGTCTTCCTCGGCGGTGGCAGTGTAAGCGTGGAAAAGGGTGTTTGCAAATATGTAGCACACAGTAGGTGCCGGCACTCCCCTGTCCAGCACTAGTTGTATTAGGGCGCTGGAGAAGGGCTCCTTGATCTGTTCCCTCGTTTCGGTGTAGTCAATGAGGACAATTTCCAGACAAATGTATTTCAACTTCTGCTAGGGCAGGGCGACTGTCTGAGGAAGCAGCGATCTCTCCATCCCTGGAAGGGCTGGGAATGAGAGTGCTGGGGAACTTGCAAAGTAAGCGAGGCTGCCTCCGTGAGGCAGACCTGCGTGAAGCCTGTGAGGCCGGTGGAGTGAAGCATGCTCAGCCAGGAATGGTGTGTTGCGAAGAGAGGTTGGAGGGGTGGAAGGGGTGCCTCTCCCCGGGCCATCTGACTGTGGATGAGAGCCCTTCAGTGCTGCTACTTGATCTAAAGAAATCTGGTTCCTCGAAGTTCCTGGGCTGCCCGACGACTGGGAACAGGTGTGCGCAGTGGGGGAGGGGAAGGCAGGTGGCCATGCCAAAGGTCAGAGTCAGTTCAGGAAGCAAAACTACCCCTCAGATCCCAAAGGTAGGTTCTGCCTGAGTCAGAGCAGAACAGGCCTGAAGCCTCAGGTGCCAACAGTCACCAAGCAGCTGGAGCAGCTGGAGCTGAGGAGGAGGGGCTGGGCACTGCAGGTAGGAAAAGGAAGTGAGGTCACCTGGGGGAAGGGGAAGAGTGTCACTTCATTTAGAGCTGAAAGACCTTGAAATAGTCTGGAGGCCAGGCGCGGTGGCTCTCGCCTGTAATCCCAGCACTTTGGGAAGCCGAGGCAGGCGGATCACGAGGTCAGGAGATCCAGACCATCCTGGCTAACACAGTGAAACTGTCTCTACTAAAAATACAAAAAATTAGCCGGACGTTGTGGCAAGCACCTGTAGTCCCAGCTACTCGGGAGTCGAAGGCAAGAGAATCGCTTAAACCTAGGAGGTGGTTGTTGCAGTGGGCTGAGATCACGCCACTGCACTCCAGCCTGGGCAACAGAGCGAGACTCCATCTCAAAAATAATAATAATAATAATAATAATATAGAGTCTGGAACCATCTGGGGAGTAGACAGTCAGAAAGGGTTGGGGCTTTCCCCAGGTCACACAGCAGACTGGTAGAAAATCCCAGATCTGGCCGGGCGTGGTGGCTCAAGCCTGTAATCCCAGCACTTTGGGAGGCCGAGGCGGGTGGATCACGAGGTCGAGGCGGGTGGATCACGAGGTCGAGAGATCGAGACCATCCTGGTCAACACGGTGAAACCCCATCTCTACTAAAAATACAAAAAATTAGCTGGGCATGGTGGCGGGTGCCTGTAATCCCAGCTACTCAGGAGGCTGAGGCAGGAGAATTGCCTGAACCCGGGAGGCGGAGGTTGCGGTGAGCCGAGATCGCGCCATTGCACTCCCAGCCTGGGTAACAAGAGCGAAACTCCGTCTCAAAAAAAAAAAAAAAAAAGAAAAAAGAAAATCCCAGATCTCCTGGCTCCCAGCCTGGGGCTCTTCCTGCAGCCACACCTTAGCCTCAGGAAAATACATCTGTGTGCTGACAGCTAGAGGGTCACACCAAACATCACACCCTTAACCCCAGTCTGCAGTCCCTCAGATCACAAGCTATTCCCTGCTCTTGCCCCTTACCAAGTCTGCTCGCCCCTCTTTCTTCTAGCACCACACCCATGACCCCATCCTAGTGGGGGTGCCCTGCTAGTGGGGGTGGGGAGGAGGGCCGTGTTCTTAGCCCTTGGGGTCTAGGATACTCAGGTTGTGTGCTCAGGTGTGCCTGGTGGTCTCTCCGGTTTCTCTGAGCTAGAGTGGGACCCAACCAGGCCAGGATGAGCAGCTGCCTGCGACAGTAAGGGCCAGTTAAGATTCTGCAGCACCGCTGAGCCTTGTGTTAATTCAGGGACACCTCACACAGGCCGCAGCCCCGCTCGGCCGTACCTTGTCTATTGCTTTTCCACATCACTTACATAACCTGGACTGCAGAAGAAAGGACACAATACTGGGGCACTTGGGAGCTATTTGTAACTTTCTGAGCCTCAGCTTTCCTCACTGCAAAATGGGAACAGTGGGAGACCTGCCTTAGCAACTGCGGTAAGTGTCGGCCAACGTCGGTGTGAGAAATTGCTTGTAAACTCCAGGAAGCTCATAGTGTCCTCCACACAACGAGCTCCTGAAGGCTCTGACCTTGCCCTTTTCCTCTCGACACCAGTAGTTGTGTGTCGAGCCAGTGGAGAATGAAGGCAATCAACACGAGGTAACCGCCTTGGGAGTTCCACGTGTTTTTATCAGCACTTGCAGAGATATGATATTCTAATCGTGCGAATAAAAGCAGAGAAGGGAAGAGTCTGTCCTTATATGGGCTTCCTGGGTGGAGTTAGTACAGAAAAAGAAAGTAATATAGAAAAGGCGGTTTCTTCCCACCCCACCCCACCAGGTCTGCAGTCTGCTCCTCTTCCACCCAACCCCAGACACTGGCTGCTACTCCCAGCTCCCCGGGAAGGGAGGTAAAAGGTCAGCTCCTGAGCCCTGGCTCATTATGTTATGGTTATGAAGAACAAAGGTGCTCCCTCTAATGAGGCCACGCCTGCTATTTACAAATCTCCTTCCCTGGAGGAGCTGGCTCACCCTAGAGGACTGTGAAGTGCAGCTGGCAGCTACTCTACAGGCAAGGAAACAGAGAAGCATGGCACCTTTCCCTAAGACACACAGCAATGCCCCCTTCCATCCTTGCAGACCCAGCTTCAGACACTGCCTCCTCCAGGGAGACCTCTCAGACTGCTTTTGCTGCCTTGTCTGCCCTCTACTTCCTCATTACTCCCTCTCCCCTCCCAGAAGAGGAATATCTCAGTGTCAGTGGTTATATATGGAGCTCCCACGTCTATCTAGGAGATAATTGATATCTCATGTAATTCTTACATCCATGTGAAGCAGGAATTCAAAAAACAAGCACTCTGAGGTTTGAGCTACCAAGCCGTGTGGCTTAGGAAAGCCCCTTAGCTCTCAGCTCATTCATCATTGCGGGGACATGACTCAATACAGGCCTCCAGTGACCACGGCTTGAATTGTAGTAAGCCTTCAACCACTGGTAAGAAGGCAGGAGAATAGGGGCTGGAGGCGGGAACCTAAGGTCAACTCATGCTGACTGATAGCAGAGGCTACTCCCTCTTCAATCCCTCCTTTTTCTCGGTGGCAATGCTGTATGGTAGCTGCAATCCCTCCTTTTGCTGTGTGACAGTTGCTGAGTGGCAGCAGGAAAATGAAAGTACCTCTGATTGGTCCCCTCCCACAACCCATCAGACTGGTCGTGGGCCTACTCTTTAACCAATCAGACTGGTGGCAGGCCACTAGGATGAACCAATGGGAAACCTCTAGACATTACATAAACCCTAGAAAATTCTGTCACCAGTGCTCCTGAGCCTCTTGCTCCAGCCCTTGCTGCCTTGCTAGGGTGTTCTGTCCAGTTATTTGTTCAAAACACCGAGAAGTTGGCCAACTACCCTCAACCAGTAATAGTAGCTCTAGAGGAGGAGCGGGAGGCTGCTCGTCCACTTAACCAAGAAATGGAGGAGCTGGGATTGTCCCTGGAGGACGGTGCGACTCCAGTGCCTTCTGAGGGAAGGCTCAGACACAGCTGGTATTCAGGAACCCGCTGCCACCAAAGCAAGCAGAGCCGAGGCTGGGCTGCGTCTGTGGCCATCAGCCTGGGCTCAGAGCATCATAGGGATCTGGGTTGGATAGAACCTGGCCATGGGGACTGATCGGGGTGAGGTGAGCCACTTTCCAAAGGTATGCTGGGAAACCAGGGCATCCTTCTGCAGGGGAGGCTGGGGACGGGGGCAGCCTGCTGCTTTGCCACAGTGAGCAGGCAGTAGGAACCTCTCAAACTCTGAAGGAGCACCCCCCACTACCTCCAGAGAAAGTCAGAGTCAGTCAGTGGGGAGGCCCAAAGACAGAACTGGGGCAGGCTTTCACTGGGGAGCTACAGCTGCTGGCCTGTTGGCTAGAAAACAACAACAAAAAAAACCATGCACAATAATTTAGGGACCCCAGCCAAGTGCGGGGGCTCACGCCTTTTTTTTTTTTTCTTTTTCTTTTTTTGAGACGGAGTTTCGCTCTTGTTACCCAGGCTGGAGTGCAATGGCGCGATCTCGGCTCACCGCAACCTCCGCCTCCTGGGTTCAGGCAATTCTCCTGCCTCAGCCTCCTGAGTAGCTGGGATTACAGGCACGCGCCACCAGGCCCAGCTAATTTTTTTTTTAGTAGAGACGGGGTTTCACCATGTTGACCAGGATGGTCTCGATCTCTTGACCTCGTGATCCACCCGCCTCGGCCTCCCAAAGTGCTGGGATTACAGGCGTGAGCCACTGCGCCCGGCCTCGGCTCACGCCTTTAATCCCAGGTGTTTTGGGAGGCTGAGGCAGATGGATCACTTGAGGTCAGGATTTGAGATCATCCTGGCCAACATGGAGAAACCCCCATCTCTACTAAAAATATAAAAATTTCCCACCGTGGTGCACGAGCCTGTAATCCCAGCAACTCAGGAGGCTGAGGCACTTGAACCCAGGAGGCGGAGGTTGCAATGAGCTGAGATCATGTCACCGCACTCCAGCCTGAGTGACAGAGTGAGACTGTCTCAAA